CCACAGCAGACGGATCGCGGAAACCAAACCCGCTGGCTGACCGAACGAACCTGACAACGCAACCCGCGGGTAAACTAGGGAGCGAACCGCGGTCAGCGAAGATCGCTCAGGCGCACCGTAATCCCCAGAACCAACAGCATCACCAGCATCCACGTCAGCAGCATCAGCGTCCACATCAGCACGAACAAGGAAAGCCGACAGAAATTCCTTCGCCTCTCGCTAATACTTCTCTCGCTACAGGAACAAGCAACGGCACTCAAACGGAGTGGAAAGTCCGGCCCTCAGGTCGCGGGTTCTTTAGCAAGCTGAAGCATTTCTTCCCTGTGCGTGGATTGGTGGGTAAGCGCAGCGAACCCGTAAATTCCGGGATCTCAAACCCAGTTGCGGAGCAGAAAGGATGCGTGGAGAGAGGCAGCACAGCAGCGTCAGCAGCGTCAGCGCTAGGTGCGAATAGCGGGAATGCGGACGCGCTAGGAGCGAATAGCGAGAATGCGGACTTGGGAAGTTGGGGTCCTGCGGAAGGTGCAGATACGGCCAGGAGCCGGCCTCCTGGACGCGGTATCGTGCGCTCCGTTTCGCTTACAGCGACGGGGACGAGTCACAACGAATACGCGGATACGGCAGGGAATCCGGGCGAGGCGGAACTAGCGGACCGGGCGAAGAGACACGAGTATGGTTACTTTCGCAGGCGAATGAGTGATATCAGTGGTATCAGGGGCGCTGGTACTGGCATCACTGGTATCAGCGGCAACAGCAGCCAAAGCATCAGTGCCTTGGGAATGCCGAGGCTGGTGGCAGGCATGGATCTTGCCGTACCTGCCGGGTTGGAGGCATGGGGTGTGGGGAGAGGAGGGGATTTGTGGGACTTGGAGGGAGTGAGAGGCGCAGGATGGGAGGGTGGAGATGGTGGGAGCTTGTGTTATGGCGTTGGTGATGACGTGGATGGTAACGTCAGTGATGACGTTGGTGGCTGTGGCTTTGGTGACTCTAACAAATGGTGGAGCGATGGGGGTAGAATGGAGAGGGCTTTTTTGGAGTCTCTTATAACGGGGGAGAGCTTAACGGGAGCGGCAGATAGGTCCAGATCGTTCGTTTTAAGCATGATATGGCGCTCTCCCTGCCACGTGGCATCCGCCCTCTGCGTAAGTGCTGAGGCTCGCGTGTGTGTGGTGAGAACTCCCTTCAACTCCGCCCCCTCCGCACCTTTCCCCCTTATCTTTCTTGGTTTAGCTCTCTTTTCCCCTCCATACCCGCATCTCTCTTCCTCAATCTTTCTCTCCTTACTCCCTCTGTGTCCCTCCTCCTTCACTCCGTGCTTCTCGTCCTTCCTTCCTCCCTCTTTTGCTCCCTCCTCCCCCCAATCTATATCGCTCTCTCCACCTTTCTGTCTCTCTCCAACTCTCTGTCTCTCTCCAACTCTCTGTCTCTCTCCAACTCTCTGTCTCTCTCCAACTCTCTGTCTCTCTCCAACTCTCTCTCTCTCTCCAACTCTCTCTCTCTCTCCAACTCTCTCTCTCTCTCCAACTCTCTCTCTCTCTCTCCAACTCTCTGTCTCTCTCCAACTCTCTCTCTCTCTCCAACTCTCTCTCTCTCTCCAACTCTCTGTCTCTCTCCAACTCTCTCTCTCTCTCCAACTCTCTGTCTCTCTCCAACTCTCTGTCTCTCTCCAACTCTCTCTCTCTCTCCAACTCTCTCTCTCTCTCTCCAACTCTCTGTCTCTCTCCAACTCTCTGTCTCTCTCCAACTCTCTGTCTCTCTCCAACTCTCTGTCTCTCTCCAACTCTCTGTCTCTCTCCAACTCTCTGTCTCTCTCCAACTCTCTCTCTCTCTCCAACTCTCTGTCTCTCTCCAACTCTCTCTCTCTCTCCAACTCTCTGTCTCTCTCCAACTCTCTGTCTCTCTCCAACTCTCTCTCTCTCTCCAACTCTCTGTCTCTCTCCAACTCTCTGTCTCTCTCCAACTCTCTCTCTCTCTCCAACTCTCTGTCTCTCTCCAACTCTCTGTCTCTCTCCAACTCTCTGTCTCTCTCCAACTCTCTGTCTCTCTCCAACTCTCTCTCTCTCTCTCCAACTCTCTGTCTCTCTCCAACTCTCTGTCTCTCTCCAACTCTCTGTCTCTCTCCAACTCTCTGTCTCTCTCCACCTCTCTGTCTCTCTCCAACTCTCTGTCTCTCTCCAACTCTCTCTCTCTCTCCAACTCTCTCTCTCTCTCTCCAACTCTCTCTCTCTCTCCAACTCTCTGTCTCTCTCCAACTCTCTGTCTCTCTCCTACTCTCTCTCTCTCTCCACCTCTCTGTCTCTCTCCAACTCTCTGTCTCTCTCCAACTCTCTGTCTCTCTCCAACTCTCTGTCTCTCTCCAACTCTCTGTCTCTCTCCACCTCTCTGTCTCTCTCCAACTCTCTCTCTCTCTCCAACTCTCTGTCTCTCTCCAACTCTCTCTCTCCAACTCTCTGTCTCTCTCCAACTCTCTGTCTCTCTCCAACTCTCTTTCTCTCTCCAACTCTCTGTCTCTCTCCAACTCTCTCTCTCTCTCTCCAACTCTCTGTCTCTCTCCAACTCTCTGTCTCTCTCCAACTCTCTGTCTCTCTCCAACTCTCTGTCTCTCTCCAACTCTCTGTCTCTCTCCAGCTCTCTGTCTCTCTCCAACTCTCTGTCTCTCTCCAACTCTCTGTCTCTCTCCAACTCTCTGTCTCTCTCCAACTCTCTGTCTCTCTCCAACTCTCTGTCTCTCTCCAACTCTCTGTCTCTCTCCAACTCTCTGTCTCTCTCCAACTCTCTGTCTCTCTCCAACTCTCTGTCTCTCTCCAACTCTCTGTCTCTCTCCAACTCTCTGTCTCTCTCCAACTCTCTCTCTCTCTCCACCTCTCTGTCTCTCTCCAACTCTCTGTCTCTCTCCAACTCTCTGTCTCTCTCCAACTCTCTGTCTCTCTCCAACTCTCTCTCTCTCCAACTCTCTGTTTCTCTCCAACTCTCTCTCTCTCTCCAACTCTCTGTCTCTCTCCGCGTCCCTCTGCTCCCCCCTCGCCCTCCCATTCCCAATGCCCGAATTTTCTCACCTTGTCTTCTCAACTCCCTCCCATCCGTGTCCCCTGCGCTCTCCCCTCCCAGCGCGCCTATGCGTGTATCGTTGCTGCCAAGGCGGTGGCGAGGGTGTTATCTTACCGCCTCCCATCCCCCTATTCCTCTGCGCTCTCCCCTCCCAGCGCGCCTATGCATGCATCGTGGCGGCCAAGGCAGTGGCGTGGGTGGCATCTCTGCATCTCATGGAAGGCGCCCTGACTCATTACAAGGATCGTGAGGGAGAGAAGCACGCAGTGACTCGTTATAAGGACCGAGAGGAAGAGGGGCACGCAATGACTCGATTTAAGGACCTCGGGGAAGAGCAGCAGAGATTGACTCGTTATAAGGAGCACGAGGGGGTGCAAGGCGCGTGGTTTCGCTACAAGGACGGGGAGGCAGGGGCTGGCGAGTGCTCGCATGCAGAAGCTGCCAATCGTGGCCTGCCACGTGGAGGCTGTGAGAGAACTCGAGAGAGCCGCAGGAAAGGGCTTAAGGGACTTGGCGAATCTGAGGCATGGTTAAGGGACCACTCGGGTAGTAGTCCGTGTGTGTGCTGCTGTGAGAAGAGGGGGAGAGTGATGGGTGGGGTAAGAGGAGAGAGGAGGCATGGGGAGCATGGGATGTATGGGGTGCATGGGGAGCATGGGATGCACGACATGCATGGGGTGCATGGGGAGCATGGGATGCACGACATGCATGGGGAGCATGGGATGCACGACATGCATGGGGTGCATGGGGAGCATGGGATGCACGACATGCATGGGGAGCATGGGATGCACGACATGCATGGGGTGCATGGGGAGCATGGAATGCATGACATGCATGGGGTGCATGGGAGGCGTGGAGTGGGTTTGATGCATGGGGAGCATGGGATGCAGCATGGGGTGCATGGGATGCAGCATGGGGTGCATGGGATGCAGCATGGGGTGCATGGGATGCAGCATGGGGTGCATGGGATGCAGCATGGGGTGCATGGGATGCAGCATGGGGTGCATGGGATGCAGCATGGGGTGCATGGGATGCAGCATGGGGTGCATGGGATGCAGCATGGGGTGCATGGGGAACGTGTGAGGCGAAGGCAGCAGCGTGGCATGCATGGGCCAGCAGCGAACCGCCTTAACATGCAATGGGCGGCAGCAGCAGAGGCAGGAGAAGCAGAGGCAGCTGCAGCATCAGAGACAGCAGAAGCAACAGGAGGGATAGTAAGCGTGGCACGAGCGTCAGCTGAAAAGGACGAGGCAGCAGCCGCTGCAGGAGCAGCAGCAGCAGCGGCGGCGGCGGCAGCAGCAGCGGTGGAGCTGGAGAGGTGTGCAGCGAGGGCTGGGATGGACCGACTGGTGCTGGATTGGGTGTTTGGCCCGGGGGAGAGCACACGCAGGTGGGTGGGTGACAGTGGGGAGAGCACACGCAGGTGGGTGGGTGACGGGGAGGGAAGCACAGGCGGTTGGGACATGCGACCAGGGGAGAGCACACGCAGGTGGGTGGGTGACGGTGGGGACCACACTGGTGGTTGGATGATTGAGACGAGAGAAAGCAGTGGCAAGTGGATGGCTGGGGAGTGCGGAGAGGAGTTTTTGGAGGGTAGCCTGAGTTTTGAGACGTGTCAGAATCGGTTTCAGGAGGGGAGTCAGAGTTTCGAGACGCCTGAGAAAGAGTTTGTGGAGGGAACGCAGAGTTGCCGTAGGGAGGGTGAGAATAGGTCTCTCTATGGTGATTCACATGAAGAGCTTGATGTGATTCAGAGGGTGCGGGGAGATCGGCGCTTGTCTGCCGCCCTCCCCAGCATCCTAGAGGAAGGTTCTGAGATGACTGGGGAGACACAGGGAGAGTTTGGTCCAGCTGGGAACGTTGATGCTCCGTGTATCTATGGATCAGGGCCGTGGGGAGTGTCCGCAAATTGGTTTCAAGGGGGGAGACGTGTGGAAAATTCGGGCTTTGGTATGCCGGATCTCACTGATATTGAGTCGTCCACTAACGAGTCGGCAGCGGGAGAGGGTGGTATGGCGCAAGGGGGTGCAGTGGTAGGTACAAGAGTGGTAGCAGAAGGGGTTTCTGTTTCACTGGTGGGGTTCCTGGGGTCCTTTGAAGCGGAGATGAGTTCTGGCAGGACTGGTGGTGCGGGGGAGGTGACAGGGGAGGGAGAGAGGGAGGGAGGAGAGGAGGGCGGAAGGAAGTGGAGTGAAGGGGGGCTGGGTGGGAGGGAGGATGAGGGAGGAGAAGGGAGGGAAGGAGGTGCAGAGGGGGAGGTGGGAGAAAATGCTGTTGAAGGAGAAGGGAAGGTAGAAGAGGAGAGGAGGTCTGGGAAGGAGGGGAGGGTTGAGGAAAGGAGGGGTGAGGGAGGGAGGGGTGAAGAGGGGAGAGTGGAGAAGGAGAGAGAGGGAGGAGAAGGTGGAGGGTGGGAAAGGGAGGGGTTAGAGTGTGCGGTATTTGAGGATGCTGCTAGCGAAGCAAGGTCTGGTTCCTTGACGGTTTTCGAATCAGCTCTGACGTGGGAAGGAAAGGGGACAGATTGTGACGTTTTCGAGGAGGTTGTTAGCGAAGCAGGGATTAGGGGTAGCAGCGTGAGTCTGACTGAAGAGAAGACCACTGGGTTGACTGGGAATGAAGGGCAGCAGCAGGAGCAGCGGGGACAGGAGCAGCAGGAGCAGCAGCAGGAGAGACTGGAAACGGGACAGCAGCAGCAACAACAGCAGGAGCAGCAGCAGCAGCGCCACCAGCACCATCAGCAGCAGCAGCAGCATCGGTTCTCGCCTATCTCACTCATGCCCCAAGCCTGGAGCCCCAGATTGCACCCTTCGGAGCAGCAGCCGCATCAGTTTCAGTCACAGCAGCACCATCAGCAGCAGCAGCAGCAGTTTCAGCCACAGCAGCACCATCAGCAGCACCATCAGCAGCACCATCAGCAGCAGCAGCAGCAGTTTCAGCCACAGCAGCACCATCAGCAGCACCATCAGCAGCAGCAGCAGCAGCAGTTTCAGCCACAGCAGCAGCAGATTGAGACTTGGGTGTCTGGGCACGAGACACACAGTCTCCCCTGGGCCAGGGCGGCGAGAGCAGGAGCAGGAGCAGGAGCATGGGAGAGCGTGGGAAGCAGGTGGAGTGGGTGGAACGAGGGGGAGAGTGTGAGGGAGAGTATGAGGGAGAGTGTGGGGGAGAGCAGTAGGGAGGGGAGGATGGGTCTGATAAAGGGGGGGAGGTGCAGCAGTGGCGCGGGCAGCAGCAGAGGGTGCAGTAGCAGCGAGAGTGACAGAGGGCGCAGCAGCAGGGAGGGTAGCAGCAACAGCAGCAGCAGCAGCAGCAGCGGCAGCAGGAGTAGCAGTGTGAGAAGCAGGAGAGGGGAGGGCAGTGCGAGGGGTTTTGATGAGGGAGGTGGTGATGGAAGCAGCAGAGAAGGTCCCTTGGACATGGATGCACGTTGTGGGGAGTCCGAGAGTGGAAAATCGTTAAAGCCTTATTCTGCTGAGCGTGAGGACTCAGATCTCACTGTTTTGTCACTAGGGCGTGGAGGAGGACAGGGAGGAGGATGGAGAGAGGGCAAAGGAGCGCTAGGTGGTGATATAAAAGAGGGTTGGAGAGAGAACCGGGGGGACAGGAGGCAGCGAGGAGGGAGGACGGGGATAGTGAAGGAGGGAGATGAGGGGGAGGAAGAGGGAGAGGATGGGATGAAGGGAAGTGAGGAGGGAGAAAGGGGAAGAGATGAGGGGTCGATTGATTGGCTGAGACTGAGTGTGGGCGTGGCGGGATGCTCTAAGGAGTCTCAACACCAACACACGATTGACTTTATGGGATCATCGTGCATCGACATGAACGAGTCCGAGGAGGATGGATGCATGCCACGTGGCGCACTGTTGGCCTCTCCACGTGGCACAGACTCAGCACGTCCACGTGGCACAGCGTCGGCCTCTCCACGTGGCGCAGCACTGGCCTGGCCTCATGCCACGTGTCAGCATGCTCTTGCTGGCAGCCCAGCATCAAGCAGCGACCTCCGGGTAGGTTACCTCCTGCCTTGAGGCAAAAGGCCGTAACACCATGTCATTGCATTGGGACCTTGGTGGTGAGTGTGTGAAGACTCATGTCTGCATGCTCATGCTGGCAGCGCAGCATCAAGCAGTGATCTCCGGGTAGGTTCCCACCCTGCCTTCAGGCTAAAGCCTGCTTTGAGACATTAGTGAGTAGATTGTTTATTTTCCCAGCGTTTTTAGAACACTCACTTGATGCCTGTGTGAGTGGGCCTTGGGTGATTTTTTATGCTGCCACCTGGTCAGCAACACAGATGGAGCCATGGCATGCACTGGCTGCTCGACCCGTGCTGCACTGCTGCCTTGTGTTGTTCCCTTACAACTTCCCCTTCCTTCCCACCCCTTTCAGGAGCTCGTGTCGCGGCAGCAGGGGCAGATCGAGGAGCTTCGGTGGCTGTTAGGGCAGCAAATGGAGGCGTGCCACGCACTGGCTGCTGCTCTTGTCTTACCCGTGCTGACTTGTGTTGTTCCCTTTGAATTCCTGTCCGTTCACTCTCAGGAGCTGGTGGCTCGGCAGCAGGGGCAGATCGAGGAGCTGCGGCGGCTGCTGGGGCAACAGATGGAGTCGTGCCACGCACTGGCTGCTGCTCTGAGGCTGCAGCAGCAGGAGCGTCAGCATTTGGGGAGGCAGGGGGAGCAAGGATTGGGAGGTTTGAAAGAGACTCAGGAGGCAGATCTAGAGGAAACAAAGCTTGGAGAAAGCAGGTCCGAGGAAGCAGATGGGGCAGAAGGGGAAGAAGGGGCAGAGGAGGCGGGTGGTGAAAGAGAGAAGGAAGTACGGGATAGTGGAGGAGGCGAGAGAGAGGGGGCACGGGAATGGAGGGACCTGGATTGGGATGACGAGTTGATGCAGCAGTCGGGGGAGCTGCGAGGAGATATTACAAGTCTGAAGGATCAGGTGGGTTGAGTATTTCATTTGTTTGGAGAAAAAGGAGGCCTTCTGTGTCTGTTCACCTGTTGACTCCCTTCTACTCCCTGTGACTGTTTGAATGGTGCGACGCAGTTGGCCCTTTGACTCCCTGCATGCAGCTTGCTTGCTCAAAGGGCCAACCGCATTGCACCACTCAAACAGTCACTGCTCCACACCATGGCGCAGCTCAACTCTCCCTCTCCCTCCCCCTCCTCTCCGCCCTAACCCCAGCTTTCGTTATGTACCTATACTTCACTCTCCCTGCAGCTTGCTCAAAGGGCCAACCGCATCGCACCACTCAAACAGTCACTGCTCCACACCATGGCGCAGCTCAACTCTCGCTCTCCCTCCCCTTCCTGCTCTCCCTCTCCTGCTCTCCGCCCTAACCCCGGATCTCTTTCTGTGCCTGTCCTTCCCTCTCCCCGTCCCCTCCATGCAGCTTGCTCAAAGGGCAAACCGCATTGCATCACTCAAACAGTCGTGCTCAGCTCAAGTCCCGCTCTCCCTCTCTCCTTGCCTTGTGTGTCTCATTTGCCCCTCCCCGTTCCCTTTACGCAGCTTGCTCAAAGGGCCAACCACATAGCATCACTCAAGCAGTTGCTCCTTCACACCATGGCTCAGCTCAAGTCCCACTCTCCCTCCCGCTCTCCCTCCTGCTCTCCCTCCCGCTCTCCCTCCTGTTCTCCCTCTTGCTCTCCCTCCCGCTCTCCCTCCAGCTCTCCCTCCTAACCCAGATCTCTTTCTGTGCCTATCCTTCCCCTCTCCTCGTTCCCTCCATGCAGCTTGTTCAAAGGGCAACCGCATAGCATCACCCAAGCAGTCGCTCCTTCACACCATGGCTCAGCTCAAGTCCCGCTCTCCCTCTCCGTGCCTTGCGTGTCTCATTTTTCCCCTCCCCGTTCCCTGCATGCAGCTTGCTCGAAGGGCTGGCCACGTCGCATCACTCCAGCAGTCCCTTTGATGGAGCTCCATATGATGGCTCAGCTCAAGTTCCGCTCTCCCTCTCCCTCTTTTGAGACGTCTCAAACATCAGTCCAGCAGTCCCTTTGATGGAGCTCCAGATGATGGCTCAGCTCAAGTCCCGCTCTCCCTCTCCCTCCTAACCCCTGCTCTCCCTCTGTTCCTATTTTTCCCCTCCCTTTCGTCCCTTTACTTGTTTGTTCCCTCCATGCAGCTTGCTCAAAGGGCCAACCGCATAGCAGCACTCAAGCACTCTCTCCTTCACACCATGGCGCAGCTCAAGTCCCGCTCTCCTTCCCCTGGACCTGCCTTTTCCCTCGCTTCCCTCCACTTCCCCTCCCTCCCCTTGCCCTCCCAACAACCCTCCTCTCGCCCATCCCCATCTCCTCAGCTCCCATCCCTCCACTCGCCCTCTCGTCTCCCCTCTGCTCTTCGCCTGCATTCTCCGTCTCCCAGGCATTCCCCCGTGCTTCCATTCCGCCCGGCCTCTCATTCACGTATCTCTCCCCTTCATACGGTCGGTGCACAGTGCAGTGATTGTTTATAGCTACACTACAGGAACCAACAAGACCCCATGACTATGTGATTCTAAGTTTTATCGAGATTCAACTTGGTTGCTATTGTCTCGTAGAAATGCTCATAGAACTTAATTTTATGCAGCAAATCAGTAGCTCACTTTATACTTCAGGATACAAACAGATTGGTGGATTGCACATCTTAAAACAACAAAGCAGCATGTGTAAGGGCGTGCTCCCACATCTCTTATCAGTCACACCTTCAGTGCAGATGCAATTACGCGCACTCCAGTGCGGTGCGGTGCGGTGCGGTGCCAACACGCCTCTGTTACAAGGATCAGCGTGTATTTTGATCGCAACGGGCTTACGAATCCCAAACTTGCACTTCTCGCCACTTCTCCATCTCGTTCTTGTTTGTAGCAGCCTCGATAGACAATGCTGCTCCCGCCGCTGCACTGACTTTTGATAAAATGGTGAAGCAAAAAATGGAAACTGGGCAAGCAGAGAGGAGCATTGGCAGGGCAAGCAGAGGCAGCAGTGAGTGGTGGCAGTGGTGGTAGCACTTACCATGGCTACCTTGCGAGTGTCCTAGAGGGCAGACATACGTTGTACTCAAATGATACCCCTGGTCGCAGCACTGGCGGCTGTTCCACCACTCCATCCCCCTGTTGCTATGCCACGAGGGGAGAAGATGAGGGGTGTGAGTGGCAAGAAGGTGAGCGGATCGGGGGAGAAACGCGGGGTAAGTGGGGGGAGGTGGGGGGGAGTGGAGGTGGAATGAGAGATGGGCGAGAAAGGAGAAGAGGGGAGAGCGGGGGAGATGAGGGGCGAGAGAGAGGGTGATGAGGGGTGAGCAGGAGAAGGAGAAAGGAGATCCGGGAGTAGGTTATATGGGGAAAGAGGAGGGGAAGTTGAGGGAAGAGAAGGGGGGAAATGAGATGAGAGCGAGAAGGGAACGAGGGGAGAGCGGGGGGAATGAGCAGAGAGCGGAGGGGAAAGGGATGAGGCGAGAGCGGGAGAAAATAAGGCGAGGAGCGGGACAAGATGAGGGATGTCCTTCGATCCCCCCCCTCCCCAATCCTCTCCTCCCCCCACCCCCCCGTCCTCCTCTCCTCCTCCCCCCACTTTCCCGCATTCCGTACCTCGCAACACACCCACGTCTCTTACCTTTCTCCTTCCATTTCTTCTACCGTTTCGTGGGTGGCAACGCCGTCATTTACGCCTCCGCTTAATCACCTGCTTAACGAAATCAGGTAGGCGGTATCGGCGACGCTAATGGGCACGAACCGAAGCCTCTGATGTGTCTGCATGGGAGCGTGCTCGCGAATCAACATGCGCAGATTAACAATAATTATTCGTCCGCAAATTAACGGTACAACTGCGGTAATATATAAGAAATTAAATTTTGTACCGACTACTGGCGACTAACAAAGATCTGATGTCCGCAATTGGCGGTAACTACTTGAAGCCGATGCTAGCATTAATCACTGGCGGTTCTTACCTTCACTACGTCAAATAACTAATAGTAAACACGACTAATAGTAACCTGTGCGGGATGATAAACCAAGAGGCGGCGGTAACGCCTCTAACAGACTGGAAACCAAGAAAGGATGATGACGGGAGAATATGGAGGAGCTAAAGAAGGGTGGTTGATGTGGCGTGGTGGTTGTGCCTCCCTCGATTCCTATTCGCTCGCGTGATTTTCCTCAACCACCCCTCGCTATTTCAGCTGCCCCAATTTGGTTCGCAGTCAGCAAAGGGGAGTTGCGAGAGCAGCTAAACCTCGCGAGACTTCAGCCGGATAAATCATTTAGCCCATTTCAACACCATCCCGCACCTCACGCTAGCCTCACTATATAACTCAACTTCTCGATTCAACAGTAAGTGCCACGTCAGTCTCCTCCTAAAAAATGTATCTTCCTGCCCCAGCTCTAAGCACAACCAGACCTTTCCACAAACAGTACGCGCCCTGAGATGATTCGTTTGCCTCAGCACAACCAAACCCAACCGAATAACCAGACTCTATACATTCCGAATTTGAATTGAGACTTTTTAGATGTTATGCAAGACAGTTTGCTTGTTACTGTACACATCTCGGCCGCTTTTCACACTTCCAAACCGCGATTCATTTTACCAATTGCACAGCTCGAACGAATCCCCGCCGTTGGCGGCGGCTACGGTCTTCATCACCATCATCCATTCAAATTGTGTCCTGCAACCCACATGATACAATTTTCCCGCACTTCACAGGGCACAAAAGCAGCCGCGCCGTGTCGCATCCCTCTGTACCCAGCAACCCATCACATTTCATTTGAAAACGCGCTGCGGGAGGCGGCAAGCACCAAACCACAAAGCGCAAATCAAGGCGGCCTACTCCTTTCTCTCCGGCAGACGCATCTTTCCTGCTCTGCTCTCAGCTCATTCTTTCCACCGAAACCTGGTATAGTCCCACGGCTGAGTCCATTTTCGCATTATTTTTCCTTCACGATCTCATCGAAGGAATGTTCAGAGAAGCTCTTTCCTTACGAGCTCTCTAATACGGACTTCAAGCTACTTGCTCCACGGAGCAGTCCGTTCTACATGAAGCCACCCGGCTAGTACAAGGGGAAACACCAGGCATGCAGCAGCGCTGAGGTAGCGTAGAGTAGTTTAGAAGTCGTGGGTGGGGTGGGTTGGGTAGTTTAGAGAGTCTAGCGAGCTGCTTGCGTGCCTTGGTCGGAACCTTGTACGACGCCCTGGGTTGGTTGGTTGTCGCGGCAACACCTTCACCGCGATAGCCTTCTCGTGAACTCGTCACAGCAATATTCTCAGTACGCGGCGAGATCTTCAGTACGCGGCGAGATCTTCAGTACGCGACGAGAATGCACGGAGAATTCTTCACGGGGAGCAGCCAAAGCTGGATCAGAGCCCAACGACCAGAGCGCCATTCAACCACGTCAAGACCGATGTTGTCTTCGACGGCGTTTCTCCCCGTCCTCGCCGTTGCGGCGCGTCAGCTCTTCACGGCTTCACGCCAAAATGAAGACGCTTTGACGTAAGTACAGTCTTCTTACATACTTGGTTATCCTCTAAATAAGCTTTGCATTACACTTCTTCTGCTTCGAAGCTTTGATATTCTTCTGGAAAGAGTTTTGTTAAAGCCTTTTTTTCGCTTTCCCTGCAGGCGACAACCTTTCCGTTCTGAGAGGCCAACGACCCGAGAGCCGACCGTCTCGACGCTTCCAAGTCCAAGTCAAGACTTGAGAGCCAAAGACAAGACCGATGGAGCCTTTGATGGCGTCTCCCCGTCCTCGCCGCTGTTGCGCGTCAAGTCTTCACGTCTTCACGAAGAGATGAAGACGCTTGGCGTAAGTGCAGTCTCTTTGAACTCTTTTCTACTTTCGCGCTTTTCTTAAACATTGCCGCTTCTAAGCTTCTAATATCTTCTGAGGGGAATTATATTAATGCGTTTTTGTTGACCCTGCAGGCGACCATCTTGAGAGCCCAGCGACCATCTGCGATGACCACCTTGAATGTCGAAACCGACGAACCTTCAATCGCACGAGCTCTCTCTCAACGACGACGGTCCAAGCTCTCACTCAACGACGACCGCGGCGATTCGCATGACGACTATCCCGTCCCGCGGAACTTCAGTGAGGTTCTTTTTCAAGCCTCACCACAATGAAGGTAAGTGCGGCTCCGTTTTAGAGCCCTTTCGTTTTTACGCGTGAAGCGTTTCGCTTTTTTTTTACTTTCTCTGTTTCTAAGCTTTCAATATTTCTGATGGGAATCATACTAACGCGTTTTTCGTTGACCCCTGCAGGCGACCATCTTGAGAGCCCAACGACCGTCTGCGATGAGCCCTCTCTGAACGACGACGGCGGCGATTTCCGTCGCATGGCGACTCTCCCGCGCGGAACTTCGCGTTCCCTTTAGCGACGCTTGACTCGAGTCTTCGCAAGCGGCGCTTCCATCGTCGCGAGGGGATTTCAAGGCATGGTGTTCCATCGTCGCGAGGGTCGCTTCCATTGTCGCATGGCGTTAGGCGACGGTGCGTTCCGCTGACGACGGTTTTACCGTCGCTAGTGGCGCTTTGGTTACCGGATGGTAAGAACGCGATAACAACATCAGCACTTTCGATGCGTTTTTTACTGTTATTCGTCCTTCTTTCAACGGTTCAGCTAACGGCTTTCCTTGTTCCTGTAGATGGTGAGGGAGACCCGTCGATGGCGCTTCTCTCGGTCGGCGGCGTCGCTCGTCGGGGCATGGCGACGAGTATCCCGTCGCACAGCGTCGCTTCGGCGGGAGCATGGCGACTCTTCACCCGTCGCGCGGCGCTTCGCACCGCGCTGGCGACCCCGCCTCTCAGATTCGTCGTCGTTTTTCGTTTTGTCATCTTCCGTTTGTCATCTTTCGTCTCGTTT